TTTTTTTTACTTAAAATCAGGGGTTTTATTATTTTGTTATTTATAACGTTTATTTTCTTTAATTACATACAATGTTTAATTAATGTGTTTGATTAAATAAAATAAACTGAATAAAAAGAATTGTGCTCTAAAAAGAATATTATTTAGTAAAAATTTGAACAGTATCATCTTCTTGTAATAAATGGTCTTTGTTAACTTGTTGAGGTGAATGAGCAACACTATTACCCCATACTAAAGCATATTTAAAATCATTTAACAATGATTTGTTATATTTAAAACAAAAGTATTCAACAGAAGAAGTAAGATAAGACAAAATTATCGGATGGTCAAGATCTATAATTCCTGTTTTTGTCTTTGGATAGACTTTAAATAATCCTACAATTTCCCATATCTTCTCTAATAATACATCTACATTTTCTCCATCATCAGCTGAAATACATAACCATGACTTTTCATTTGTTAATGTCTCTTTTGTTTCATCATCCAAAATATCACATTTATTTAAAACAAAAAGGCATTGAATGTATTTTACATCTCCAGTTAATGTATCAATTAAATCTTGTTCAGTAATTCTTTCATTCGTTTTAATTTCAGCACTTTCTATAAGAAATTCTTTTTGAACAAGTTCAATCACACGATCTGTTGTCAAATCTGGTTGTTCACATGAACTGTTAAATTTAATTCCTCCTCTTTCTTTCTTTTCAATACTGATTGAAGGTCGTTTCTTATTGATTCGGATACCAACTGCTTCTAATTGATTAACAAGTAGATCTTTTAGTTCTTCTTCTTTTGTTCCATCGCAAAGGATAATCAATACATCACATGTTTTAGCAATGTCGAGTCCTATTTTATTTCTATTCTTTCCTTTATTTCCATTAAAATTATCATTAATTGCAGGGACATCAATCAATTCGAGCCTTTTTCCATCACTTTCAATTATTCCAGGAATATATTTATACCCATTAGACTCATACTTTCCGTCAGCATCCTCTTCTTTAATAAGTTCAAATAAAGTAGTTTTTCCTACACCACTCATCCCAACAATACCAACACGAGCATCTCCATAATCAAAACTCTTTAACTCTTCTCCTGTAATACAACTTTCAAATTTAATTGGAGCTAACATCTTTCGATATTTAACTAATTTACCTCTTAACAAACAAATGTGGTGCATTGTTGCTTTATTTACTTGTGTTCTAGACAACTCTAATTCAATGTCATTGATTTTCTGTTGAATAGACATTGTTTATATAAAGAATTTATTTTAAGAGGTGATAATATAATTATTAGTTAATTTATTATAATAATTTATTGTTTAATTTTTTTTATTATAATAATTTATTATTTAAAATAAATAAAATGTAATACAAAACATTATCTATCAAATAAAAAAATAAAAGAGTTTTATTTAAAAACTATAAACTAAAAATTTTGTTTTTAAAGGATGAGTGAAGTTAAAACAGAAGATTATCAAAGAATTATTGAACAAGAAGAATTACCTTCACTTGAACTTTTAGAAAAAATAACAAAAGAAGGAGAGAGTGGACTTCATTTAATGATTAAAATGTGTTATAACAGTATAACAAAAAATGAGAATAAAGAAAAGTATTTAGAAAGGATATTAAAAATGGTAATTGAAAAAAAAAACAAAATTTTAAATAAAGAGAATTGTTTTAAAGAAAGTCCATTTTCATTAATTGTTCAATTATTTCCGTGTTATATTGATCTTCTTATTAAATATGTTCAATTTGATTCAAATATTTTACGAGTAATATCAAATAGTCCAAACCCACAAAAGTCATATGAAGCATTTTCTGTAGCAACATCTAAATTACCAGAGATAGCGCATAATTGTGAAGGACCACCAACAATTAAAGTACCAAAAGTGAGATGGTATTCATTAGAAGATAAAACGGATGCAGAGTTTTATTCAGAATATAATGCAATTGTAGTTAATTATAAAAGTACTGGAACAATGTGGGCAACAAAGGATATTAAAAATCAATTATTTGAAGGAAAGTATAGAATTATTTCATTAGATGGAGGAGGTGTTAAGGCGTTAATGCAATTGTATGTATTAGATAGATTAGAAGAAGAATTTCCTGGATTTCTTGCACGTACATCACTTTTTTGTGGAGTTAGTGCATCAAGTTTATTATCAACACAATTTGCATTAGGGTGTGATATCAAAACAGCAATTCGATTATTTGAGTTAATAACAAAATATGTTTTTATAAGAAGAGTTGGAGGAGGAGTTTATGGTCCATTGTATACATCTAAATATATGTTAAAATATCTTCAAGTGTTTT